CTTAATATTAGGTGAAAACAGCCTGAAAACTCTAATTTTCGTAAAACTGGCTTTTCGGTAGATTTTTAAAACTTTTTCTAAAAATAAATATTTCCACGAAACTCAGCATGGTCGATTACCCATAGTCCATCAGTTTTTAAGGCTACCAATAGTCACCGGGTGCCAGTCCTTGGACTTGTAGAAAATTCGGTACAACGTCCGAACCGTGGAAAATCAAGGTCTCACTTTACTCCCATTTTGAAGAGGACACCCTGAGCGATCAGTCCATAAGAAAAAAGCAATACAATCCTATTGGAAAATCTTTACAGACGACGTAGTTTTCCAAAGATCTCCTAGGAAAACTATTTCAAAAAACTCGTCTGAAAATGATATTGGTTATGAAAACATGCATCCAAGTCTCCTCTTTCGAATGGCGAGAACCGCAGGTCTTCACCTTGTTCGTATCAAAAGTTATTCAAAAAACAACCGAGTGCCTTGACTTCTGGAACGCCAGTTACAGAAATGGTAACTGATAGCTATTCAGTCCTAGTTATAGATGTATGGCTATTCTAAGTATAAGGTAGTATCATACGTTTGAAGTTTCCTAAGTATCCGTATATTAATTATTTACATACGGGCATTCTAGTAATTCATATTCGCTAGAGTATATCCAAGTCCAAATATTGCAGGAAAATATAATCAATCGATCACCGTTTCAGAACATAAGAAAATAGAAATTTAATAGAAACAGATTTACAAAATTTAAATCTTGCTCTGATTTGCGTGTTCTTCAGCAAGAACGCAAGTAAAAAATAATAAAACACACTAAGTATACAAGCAGCATAGAAAAATAGATGTTTATTTTCAATATCTAAGTTTTTTCATTAAATCCATGTATTTTTTTGCTTGCATACGACGTTCTTTTCTTTCTGACTTCCATTCTGGATATTACGAAACTACTGTGCAATTTGGGCACTGTATTCTAAACATAGAAATAAATCAAACTGTAACCAACAGTGAACATAGCCTTCTCCTTTGTTGTGATCCATCTTAGTCATGTGTAATTTCAGAAAAATAAGCATTATTTTGATGAACTATGATAAAGCTGTTCTCATCTACGATCGCTACGTTTGCAATGTATTGTACTGTAATCGATATAGTTCAAATGCCAAGTGTTTTATAAAACTGAGCTTTTTCGTTCAACATATTTGAATCAGCTTGGGTTTCTACCCACGGTGAGTATTAGCCTCCTCACCCAATAAGATCTAAACATATTCGGGGTGATCACTTATGCAAAATGTTGCAAGTATAACAGCGTCTATTTCATTCGTGTTGTGTATCAAAGAAGTATTCTAAACGTGAGACAGTCAAAATCGTGTGGGTGCCCATTGAACACGAAAAACATCCATATTATATACATACATAGAAAAATGTCGTATTATTATCTCGCGCATAATCATTTATATCAAACTCTTTTTTTGACGTACTGTAGTTAGATTTTGATGTATCATCTTGATATTTATGATGAGGACAAAAGGTTGATTGAGTAGACCTGTATCAGCACAGTGTTAATAGATAAATTTTGTTTAAATTTTTGTTAGAGACAAATATCAGCAGTTCAGACTTACCGACTTAAATCCCAAACGTGTCGCTTTATAAGTAATTTTTCGCAAATTTCGCAAGGAAATTGGTGAGATGTTCGTGTACGACCTGCCATGTGATAGAGCTCTTCTATTAATAGATAACAGACAAGAAAGTGTATGTATTTCGTACCTAATTTTCGTGTAGATGAAGCTCTCCCATTTGGCGGTTTGTTGTTGGTAAGGAATTTATTTTTTTGTAATGATCTTTGTGCTTGTTGATCATAACCTATGACTGGTTGATGGAGAACATCTTGAAGAATTCTCATAGCTGACGCTCGTTCTAAGTATAAGATCCATTATTTTCATATGACATGAAGTCTACAAAAAATAACTTACCTTTATCTGTAGCATTGCGCACCCACGTACCAAACTCAGAACCTCTACTTTGTGAACGTATCATATTTCTTAAAGGATCAGACTGACCATTATTTGGTAACTAAAATAAAAGGTCTTGAAATAAGTAAAGCACTATATACTATGGATTCTTCTCATATTAGACACCGAAGTAATAAACAAAACAGTTTAGTTCACTTCACCTGAAGATCAATTTTACAGCGTTCAACCATTATTCAGTTAGTACGAACCCTGTCGTTTGTTGGTTAACTTCTTTTTTCCAAACAATTTCGGTATGGTCATTAGAGACTTTCAAAGTACGTTTGACAGTTCTGTGCTACAAAGAATCCTTACAAGTTCATCTATTTGAAAGTCAATCATTTTAATGATTATTTGCCTACCGTTTTTTTGTCAAGGTAAAAACACGTTATAGAGAAGTAGAGCGAGAAGACGTCTGGTTAAAGTTAGAACCACATATGATTCAAGCTCGTTGAGTCAAAGAGAAATTGATAGAAAATTAATTTAAATCATTTTTAGATTTATGCACCACCCGTGATCTGTAGAAGACTGTTTAAAATGGTGGCTAGCAAGTCGCAAAAAAACAAACATTTTTTTAACAATTTCTCTTACCGGTGTTATTGTTTCTCTAGTTGATCGATAATTGACATTTGCTGATGACGCACGATTGGATGGGTTCTCCGTTCTATCAGCTGCAGCATTCAAACTCGTCATCGGTCGTCTCATTGATCTGTCGTTATAATTCCATTCATCCAGATTAGATTGCGGGCGTTGTTTCTGTTGGGATTCACGATGACCTGTACGCAATTGGCGTTTATCCATCTCGTATTGTTCTACTGCAATGGATGCTGTTTCCAATGCGTCGACATATTCATTTGGTAGTCCGTCACAGTTCACAATTTGAACGTAAACTGTATCATTATTCTGATCACCATTTTCTTGCTGTTGTAAGATAGATGAGTTGGATGATGATTCATTTGTCCATACCTGACTATTGTTATTGTTATTATTTTCGTCATCTATCTTCTTCTTTTCTAACTCTTCTTGTCTTTGTCGTTGTAAACTAACTGGTGCAGTGTGGGGTCGCAGTTCACGAGTAAATGCTTCTTTGACCTCGGGTGTCGGAAAATTATCCAATGATGGATTATAACGTTCTTTCCTGAGACGATAACGAGCAGTACGAAGTTCTAATGGTGTTTCGCTGGGAATGTAAGTCAAAAAATGACGCTCAACCGGTTGGGAAGCAGATGATGGACGTTGTTGTTGATTTGCTTCATTCACTTGCATGTGATTTGACGCTGATAATGGACGTTCACTAGCGGGAGGCTTCGGTGGATCCCCTCTCAGTTGACCAAGCCGTTTTTTAATATCGATTAGATATTGTGGCGTAGGAGGATTTGGATAGGTTAACCAATGACGCTGTGGATCATTCGGATCGATTGTTGCTCGTTTAACCACTGGTTTTTCCGTCACTTCGTCTTTTTCCGTAGTATGCTTCAAAATAGAAGTTTTTGGACGTAGTTGCTCTAGAACATATGAGAAAAATGGTCGATAAGACTAATGAAGGATAAACAAACAAACAAACCTTCTTACCCTCTGTTTCGGGTTTATGTCTAACTGAGTAGTTTTCCGCCTGAAAAAAATTATTAACAGTGAACGGTACCACTGAAAGTTTTTTTCATTCACAGAAGAGTAATACAAACGTATGTGAATTAATTGGAAATACACTTACCGTCGACGTTGGTCGACGTTTCCATTCTACGATATAAACTGGCTTTCCACTACCATTGGTATCTTCATTGAGTGTAAAGTCATTTTTGACCTTGACTGATTTAACATCGTTTTCATCAGGTCTTTTCTCTAGTCGATTTTCTACACGCTTTATTGTCATTATTGGTTGTGGTTGTAAATGCTCAGATTTTGATGCATTTTGCGATTGTTGTTGAATTTTCTGCTGTTGTTGCTTTTGATATTCTTGTCCATATGATGAAACCTTTTTATCTTTCAGTGTTAAACGATATTGTTTCCATTTGTAATGATCCGTATAGGTTGTATTCGGATTTTTCCACCCAATCGAATCATGTAGTAGTGGTTGAAATACCACCGATGACATAATAATATCTAAAGACTAAAGAAAAATAACAATGAAAGACGTTTCGTTTTACTACAAAAGAATTTTTCTTTTTTCGTCTCTCGGTTACAAAAAAGGGTTAAACGTACAAGTGAATAAGTGTGACAAGTTAAAGAATGAAAGAAATATTTGTCAAAAATAATCAAATCATTCAAACCACAAGTTTAGACGATAATTATTAGTTTAGGCATGGAATGAAATATGATGACCTGTTTTTTGTCTTTCGACGCAATCTCGGACTTTTGTTCTGAAGGGCTCATGTTTAAAAAGATTGAAGGAAGCCAGAAGTAAACTAAAATCTTTTCTATCTCTAGCTCTTTCGCATGGTGTCCGCCATGATATTCGACTGTATTAAAGTTAAATTACAAAAAACATTATTGAGAAACAAAACGTTCGAACTTTTGATGAAACTATTAACACGTTTCTCCATACACCTGAAAAGCAGTCCTGTGGTGACAGGAGGCAGCGTACGTTCTCCTACTTTTCGATTATTTAGTAAGCGTTTTCTCTCTTCTTTTGTTTTGGGCATACTCTGAAGAAAGAAACCGCATGTGGACTTCAAAATTCGCAATAACTTAAGGAAGAACAGTCTGTCATTCAATGTCGCAAATAATTTTAGATGCCACCAATGTGAAATGGTGCACTACGTAAGCTCAATTTCTCTTAAAATTTTCTAAAAACAAATTCTTTTACCTTTCTCCCAGATTAAATTAGTGTTCTCCATAAAATGTATATCTCTCCTGCTTTTCTGTCTCGCGCTAAGAAGAAGCTTCGTTTTGATGATTCTCTGAAGTTCATACTAGTTTACACACGGCTTTGTTCGTGTAAATCGAAACCTTTTCTTAAACCAAAATGCCATAGATAGTATTAATAGAAAATCAATAGAACGTTGTAAAAATTCTAAAATATTGGTATCACGGGAAGACACGCATAAACATTTTCAGTTTTTTTACTTTTAAAGGAGGTCCAGGACTGTTCATTCTTCTCCATAGGAAAAAGAGCGAATTTTTGATTTTTCTTGAATTATCTGCTAAAAAACTAACAGGACATACTCCAGAAAACTTAGAAATCTTGTTTGGGTTCGACAACTGTTTTCCAAAAGCTCAGTCTCATCCGTTTTTGTAAGTGAAGAATTTCATGTACCAGTAGCGGTTTCCACCATTAGCATCGTTTTTCTTGCAATAGAATCTTCACTTTTATCTGGTAATCTAACCGAAAATTTTTTCTAACAAGTAGAAAATTGAAAGACAATTTCATTTGAAATTGATTTTGTGATTCGTTATGATGTTATCACATTAGTTGTAGAAAAGGCTGCAAACAGGTTTTTGAAAAACAGTTGTCGAATTCAGATAAAATGTCTAAGTATTCTCGAGTATGCTACCAGAAAATCCTGTTAGCTTTAACAGCAAATAATCCACGAAAAATCGAAAAATCGCTCTTTTTCTTGTGGGAAAGAGTGAACAGTCCTAGGCCTCCTTTAAACGTAAAAAAACTGAAAATGTTTAGGCATGTCTTTCCGTGATACTAATATTTTAGAACTTTTATAACGTTCTAATAATTTTCTATCCGTGGAACTTAGCGAATTTCATGGGAGTTATTATTTCAAATATCAACCATAAGAATTCATTTAAAAACTATAAAAAAAAGGAAACAAAAAACCGTTTATCGTATATACATATAATGACAGCCGACGCAATTTGCTGATTGCATTTGCTTTCACTTAGCTGGAAGATTAAATTACACTTGAATTTTTTTTAAATATTTTAACGTGTCTTTGTGAGACATTTTGTAGTCTCTTTTTTTTTCGATTTATTTTGTCCAAAACGTTAAATGTATGTCGAAGAAGAAAAAAAACGACACATATTAATTTTTAAGAAAAAACATAAAGAAAAAAAAGTTTATTTAACACAATATACAATTTGTTCTCCATGTTGAAGATATATTTTTTTTACATGCAAACATTTTTGTAAAACATTGTAATCGAAACTACATTGTATACAAATACTCATCATATTTGACTCGAATTAAAAATTCAAAAAGAAAAGGCTGGTCATAGTAATTTCTATTTCTTTTTTTTTTTTATTTCGATTATAAAGGAAGATTAGAGTGAAGAAGAAAAAAAACGTTCACACACATCTCTATTTTGTAAACAAGAAAAATATATCATTTGTTGGTAGTTATGGAATGTTTCAAGATGTTTTGAAAAAAAAATGAGAGGACAACAACGATTGAAACTTTATTTTTAATTATTGGATAAAGCGAAACAAAAAAGTGTCACACTTTCGCTGTAAAAAAAAGAAAGAAAAAGTTTGCAAAAATATTTCTACGAGTACAGTAGTACGCACAAAGCAAAAAAAATGAATTATTTTTTTAGAACGAATCTCGCCTAGATACTAGTGTTTAGTACATAAAATAGAAGTAACAATCCTAAATATATAAAATGAATTTTTCATTAACGTGGTGTTCTTGATTATCTATTCAACTCGTACGGTTGGTTTGTTAAATCAAAAGGATAGAAATTTATGGCGACTTCATAAAATGATAAAGAAAAGTTACTTCTGAACTATAGTTTTATAAAACAGTAAGTGGAGAAAAGAATAAGCGTTCACAGTAGATAATTTTTAGATTATGGACATTCAATGGTAATTTTATCAATTAAAAAAATTTGTCTTTACAATTCATCAAGATATAAGATTTTACATAAGCTCACTTCACAACATAAAATGATATTCAAAATAAGTATATCACTAGAAAAAATGATCTTTTTTTATTCAACAACTACTTTGCTAAAAGTTTGATGTTAAAATCTTAATAAATAGATCTTTATTTGCACAAACTGTTGCTATTGCCAATGTTAGTTGACGTATACTTCGTTGCGCACTTTCCTCTCTTCTTTTTATGAAGTAAGAAATGTGATGGTACCAGCAGCAATGTTATTTAGCCCCAATAAAGATACCCTGCTGTGACAGTAACACAATAGCATATGCAGTAATTTGGTATATATATATTGGTGTTAGTCTAGCACAGACAACTGTACGCCTGTTCAATAATACTCGTTCAAACTTCAAGATGTCCAGACTAAAACATTTTGGCAGCCTAGCCAATATTTTTTTGTAATCTAGGCAAACCTACTATAATATGTCAAAATCTTCTGAAAAATCAATTCACGCATCATTTCTAATGTGTTTCCACACTCTACGAATAGGCGTCGTGTACAAAACCTAAAAAGATTAATAAAAGTGTCTTAATCAGCTATCCTTCATGGTTTGGTAAAATGCTGCAGAAAACGTATCGTAGACGTCAAAAAATTCTTGATGTCAATTGTGTGAAAAACTCAACCATCCCATACGTTGTTATTGAGGTTTCAGAACTTTCCCTCACGGAGGTGTAAGAACATTTAAACCTCTTAAAAAGATGAAAGGCTCCAAGTGAGGTTTTCAGGTGAAGACACAAAGTGAGATTTTCACCCTCAATCAATCTTCTTAACTTCTTAGACGCAGGAAAAAAAACTTAGGAGTATGTAGAAAAGGGGTCCTAGTATTAATTTATTTACTGATTCTACACAGTATATAAAATATACAAATTATACCTTATAAAATGTGAAACCTACTCTACGAAAGTTCGTCTTTTTTTGGAACGTATAATAAATAAAAATAACAAAGTAAAATACGTTCTATACTAGAATGTATTGCCATGCCGACCCGCACCCGACCCGATCCGATGAAAACAATCTCACCAGAAAACTGTGTTTGAGAAAGAATACAGACTTGCCTTGTTAGACAAAAGTTTTTCGGTGCATATTGTAGAATCTCGAAGTTCAAAAAAAATTTTTGAACGACATCTGATTGGTCATTTTGTCTAAAAGGTTAATCTATTGAAAATTCCTCAGTACACTTAGTCAATAGATTATCTTAACCGAGATGATGACCACATCCTTTTTCTCATTGGTCAGTCAGTATCACCTAATACTAAGATAGCAAGTAGAGAGCATTATAGTAAAGTCTTCTATGTACGGGTGTTTAAAACAGTACATTGAAAAAAAGCAGCAAGGGATGGATTGCTATTGATTTCAGTGCAGGAAGCATTCTCTTATGTGTAAAGAAAGCAATCATTAATCGACTTGGTGAATGCAGTTGTTCTGAAACAAGTCTTTCAACTGGAAATTCCAGTAGAGATAACTTTCAACCAGTAATACAAAGCTAAAAATATTATTTATATTTTAAATTGCGTCGCAAAATATTCAACCCAAACCCGACCCTAGGGCCGGGTCGGGTTCGGATCGGGTTGCAGGTCTCTATGGCAATACATTCTAGTATAGAACGTATTTTACTTTGTTATTTTTATTTATTATACGTTCCAAAAAAGACGAA